TTGAAAAGTTGGTATCTAAAATATTGTTCAGATGACTCATCTCGGGTTCTAATGAGGCAAAAGAAGACCTGGGGTGTCAAAGGAGTTGGCAGTAAGTTTCACTTTACTTTTTATTCATCTTTCCTTTTTTTTAATATCCTAAATAATCCACTTTTTTTTTCTTCTCTAAGATCTTAAGGAAAATTTGACTGAGTTTTGGCTTAATTTCGAACTCGGAGATGCTTTCGAGTGCTCCTCGTAGCCCCTGTTCCTTTTCATGACTTTCTTTTTCTTTGAACTTAAGGAATTGAAGCTTTCTAAAATGTAATTGTGATCAACACCCACCACCACCTGTTGGATTAAACGCCCCATCGTCTTTCACCAGATTAGAAAACCACTGTCTCTTGCCTGGAAGATAGTGCTCAATTGATTCCTACAATCATCCTGGCTTCTCTTTGATTTTATAATCTGTTTCTAGAGATTATAGGCGAGTTTTGAATTCCAAGGCTCTAGGCCTGTCAGCTTTTGAAGAAAAAAAAAATTTTTTTTTAAACAGATTCTCTTCCTCAGGTTTCAGAAGAGAGACCCGTATGTTGGAGGATGAAATTAATTTGTCTTCATTTTGTAATACAGGGAACACATGAGTAGTTATCCCTGCTGACATTGTCACCTCTTGGGGAGTGTTTGGCTTGCTTATTTTATTTTATAACTTTTAAAATAATCACAATTATTAGTTTACTTTTTGATAAGTCTGAACAAATCACTTGGAATTCTGAGAAAAACGCCTTACCTTTTCAGAAATCCTCTTGGAGCATAACCTTTGTAAACCTACCTGCTATTCATTTACTATAAAATTACTCAATTACTCCCCATCCACCCTCTTGGTATAACTGGGAAAGGCTCCAGCTCAAGATTCTACAGATAGAAAGGAGGGAGACAGGGCAGGGAGCTATCTGGGCCCACGGGCCCACGTAAACTCGGTACACTACCCAGCACTGCTCACACAGGGCTTAGACTGGGCAAGGTTATGGAATTCTTTTGTAATTTATTTCCTATTAACATATAATGTTTATACATATTTGTGGGGTACAATGTGATTGATTGATTGATTGATTGATCTTTTAGTATTAAGAATATAATTGTGGAGCCAGCAGATGGCATGGTGGTCAAGGTGCCGGTTTCCACATGGCCAACTGCAGTTCGATTCACACACCCAACAGCTTGAAAAGCACACCAAGCACATGCGTGTGCATGCCCAAAATCCCAAGAGGAGAATGGAGGAGAAGGGACTGTGGCATGACCATCCCCACCCCAGAGGGTGATTCCTCAATTTCTCTCTCTCTCTCTCTAGGGAGCACAGGTACCCTATAGAAGAAAAAAAAAAATTGTGATGAGTAAGTGAAGATAATTAGTATACCCATCTTCTCAACCTCTTATTGCTTTTTTATATCCGCTTATTCTTGCACTTACTAGTCACTCATGTTTTCATTTGCATATTGCTATTAAATATTTTGCTTATTTTTATTGGGTTGTTATCTTACTGAGTTTTTAAAATTTTATTTATTGACATTTAATCATATCTTTACAGTGTACAACATTTGTTTTTCCACCACAAATACTATGCATGTTAGTCAAGCCAAAGATATTACTCTCTAACTTATCAGCAAAGAGCTTCTCATTTTTTGTCAGTTAAGCATACTTTTACTTTTTTCCTTCCCCCTCTCTCCCTTCCATACTAAACTTTTTTCCATGTTTTATCGATTCACAAAATACGTTAAACTAAAAATATGGACAAAGCTAGAATCTAGTCACAAGTGTCCTGTAATTTACTTCTGAAAATTTTTTTCTGAAACTTTTTTTTAACTTAATTTACATTCATTCCCTAAACATTGTCACAGCATACACAATGTGATTTCCCATCCAGAATATATTGTATAGTGGCATAATCATGCATGCTATCATCAAAAAATTTCCATTTCTAGTTTCATATATATATATATGTGTGTGTGTGTATACATATATATATATATATATGTGTGTGTGTGTGTGTGTGTGTGTGTGTGTATTTATATATGTATATATCCCTATTTCTGACCCTCTGTCCTTTCCCACCCTTTTCTCATACTATCTCTGGTGTCTACAGTTGTCTTCCATTCCTTTTCCCCCCCACATTGTATTGATCATACAATTTCTTAAATAATCTAACTACTTTCAATAGCAAGTTCACTTGGTAATTTCAAGAAAAGCAGTTTTAACTTAAATCAAAGAAATGCTAAGGAACTTTGCTTAAAACTTAAAGCCAGGAAACAGGTTAGGATTCTGTTCAAATGGTCGGTACATGAACCTATCGACAGCTCAAGACAGGACACAAATCCTTAAAACTGGATTATTATTTTTTATAATTATTTATTTATTTTTATTTATTCATTCATTTATTTTAATTTGACTAGAGAGAGGCAGAGAGAGAGAAAGAGTGAGAAAGTAAGCCACCAGGTCCAGGACTCGAACTGTGGCCTGCCATGTGGGAGTGTCCAGCACCTTACCCACCACGCCACCTGCTGGTCCCCAAAAACTGGATTATTATTGAGTTTTAAATCTTTTTATAATCTGGATACAAGGTCTTGATCAAATATATGTACTGTAAAACTTTTTTAAAAATAGTATATGAGCATATAATATTATAATATTTTTAAATCACTCTGAGATAGATCAGAAGTTATTGAGATCATTTAAAATTTTGTTTTTTAGGTAGTCTGCGATACATAGTAAACTGCTGGTAACTATGTTCACACTACCTTATTTTATAATCTAAGAACTTGTTCCTCTCATTCCACCCCTCCCCAAAAACCATACCAGCTCTAAGATTATTCTTCAATGCTGTTCTTCTGTGACAATCAGTTTTTTTCAGTTTCCACATACAACTGAGAACACATGATTTTTCTCTTTCTGTGCCTGGCTTATTTTACTTAGCATAACGTCCTATAGGATCACTCATTGAACCTTGAATGACAGGATTTCATTCTTTTTCATGGCTGACTGGTATCCCACTGTGTGTGTTGCCACAGGGCTTGTGCACTCATCAGAGAGAGATAGTGAGAGGCAAGGTGAGAAATCACCCTCTCGGGAGGTTGGCCACTTTGGGCACACATGCCTGGTGTGATTTTCAAGCCACCATGTCCAGGACTCAAGCTGCCATTGACCATGTAGAAGTCCAGCGCCTTAACCACCACCACATCTGCTGGCCCCGGTTCACTTTTTCTTTATCCTTTCATTTGTTGAAGACACATGGGGGGAACCAGCAGTTAGCGTAATGGCTATGTCGCTGGATTCCCACATAGTCGACCGCGGTTCGTGTCCCGGACCCAGTGACTTAAAACTCACGCCGGGCGCGTGTGCGTGCGTGCCCAAGATCCCGAGAGGAGAATGGAGGAGAAGGGATTGCGGCGTGACCATCCCCCCTGGGGGGTGATTTCTCGCTTTCTGTCTCTATGTCTCTCTCTGTCTGTCTGGCGAGCGCACGCGCCCTATAGTGAAAATCTCTCCAAAAAAAAAAAAAGACACATGGGTTGATTTGGGCTGTTGTGAGCGGGGCTGCAGTAACCATTGGGAAGCACGTAGCTTTGTGATGCACTGATCTGCTTTCCTATGTTTTTGAATGTGTTCATGCTACAGGCTAATATAGCACCCAGGGGAAAAGTGTGTAATCAAGATCCCTCTATACCACTCATTGCTGTAATAGTCGCACACAACAGTCATGCTGTTTACATAGATTACCCTATTACCATACTTAAATAAATTAAGGTGCACACGAGAAGAGGCAATATCCCTTTCACAGACATAGGTACATCCCTACCAGGCTACTGGAAAGAGATGCCCTTTTTTTTCTTTTTTTTTTTGACCAGAGTGTGTCTGGGCTCTCCAAACAAAGAGAGGGAGTGAGGGGGAAACATTTGCCATGGGGCATGATCACAGAGCAATCCCTGCTCCTCCACCTGTCAAGACACACATAAGCCCAGCACGTTTCCCAGCCTCTGGGTCTGGGACTAGAACTACAGGGTCTGCCAGGTGGGATCCAACTGCCTTAACCACTATGGGATGGGCTGGCCCTAAAAAGAAAGGCCCAAAATTTAATTTTTTCTTTAGGATCTTGAAACATAAAAAAATAAAGTGATGGAAAATTATAAATTCCAGTTCCTCAAATTTCAATATGAAAGCTACAGATCTTTAGTCTTCTAAGCATTTGCCATGACTGCTTTCTAAGGCTTCACATTGTATCTGTAGGAGAATGAATATTAATATTAATTCAATAATGTGTTGGGACCAGCAACGACTATGTCACTGAACTCCCATGTAGTCGACTGCAGTTCGAGTCCCGGACCCAGTGGCTTAAACTCACGCTGGGTGCATGTGCGTGTGTGCCCAAGATCCCGAGAGGAGAGTGCAGAAGGGATTGCGACGTGGCCATCCCCCCTGGAGGGTGATTTCTCACTTTCTGTCTCTCTGTCTCTCTGTCTTTCTGGAGAGTGCACGTACATTCAATAAATAAATAAATACATAAATAAATAAATAATGTGCCATAGATGCAGAGTATATTTATATGCTTAATAATATTTTCATTGTGTGTATCTTGAAAGAACTATACTATGACACAGAGAAGAAAAAAATATCTCAAGGAAAATACTCAACAAAGGAATCCAGAATAATCTACAGAGCTTAAAAATGAACTTGCAGGGATTAAAAATGATTCATTTAGAAGCCTGATAGTTCAGCTGCAAAGTCACTCCTGTGTTTTCCTCTAAACAAACTCTCCCACAACCAGTGAAAACACAGATACACACACTCCGTGGCTTCTCCTACCCCTCAGGGAGTCTTGCACACTCCCCCTTTCCCCTGCAATGGTATGATCTGCATTTGATCGTAAACTGGAGGTGCCAAGCTGTGACAGCCTCCCCAACTCCACAGTCATTTGCTATAACTCAGGACAGCCCTGGGCTCAATGGTGCTTTCCTTTCCACCAACAGGGTCAAATCGAAGTAGACAGTGAAACCGTCTTCAAATTGGCAGCACTCGTTTTACAGGTAAGAACTGACCAACGGCCTCTCACCAGCTCTTTTGTTTGTTGGTTCTTGTTAACTGTCTGCAACTCAGAAACTTACACAAGGGCCAGTGTCTGACGGATTCGTAAGCCACTTGGTTGCTTGCCAATGAAAAACAGGAGCCACCGACTCCTGCTTTAGAGTAGTTAGTGTGATAGTGTGTATCTCAAAAAGAAAAAAAAAATGAAATTTAGACTGTTCCAAGGGAAAAGAGTTTAGACCATATTCCTGGAAAAGAGCCCTGGATTATTACAATGTGGGAGGCAGCAGTTGTTACAACAGCTGTAATTTTCACGTAAATTTAGTAAGTTCATACACATTTTCTTGAGGTTGAGTAAAGGAGTGCTTTAATTCTCAAAGGCGCTGCTGGAAAACAGTTTGATTCCATGCTGGATTAAAAAGTAAGGAGAAAATAATTAGAAAGTGCGGATTTACCTGATCTAGTCTAAAAAGTGTGTCACTCAAAATGAAAAACAGTATCATTACGTGATCGTAGAAGCATCAAAGGAAAAAGAATTGTGCTTTTTCATATGTGTTTAGTTGTCTGTTCTATTAAAAATAAAACAGTTTTCTTACTAATAGCACTTTCTTCTCCAAGGCTGTAGG